ATCTATCCATCAAACTCAAATTGTCGACTATGTTTGAGTTCAATATCGATTTCAGTTCATCCTGGGGAATGCATTTTACTGCGTTTTCTCAAATTTGAGTAAAAACTCAGACTTAAGTTTGTTTCTAGAAATCAGGGCCTGGTCTCGTTGACGGGTGCGAACTCATCTTTGAGGCCAAATCTTCGTCTGGTTATAATCACCAGGAGATGAGGTGAGGTGTTGCTTGAGTGGAAGGAACATCAACTCCTACCCCGCCTGGACAATCCTAGCGTCACAGTTATGGATTATGCCAGTTATCCTTATATTACCTCCGTGTACCGGCAACAGTCACCCCCACCATGAGTTACCGTTACGCTTAAATACAAGAATTTCTGACCTCGTACAAGGTGTCTTTTAGACGGGCAGAAACCAAAGTACAGCTCATGGAGAAAATCAGACAGCACTGGAAACCTATAGTCTACAGATCAAACACGTTAGCACAGCAGCATGACCACCTTGTCTTACGGACTCCAGTGAGACATTGTGAGCTGAATCCGATTGAGCTGATCTGGGCTTTGTAGCCAGTCACAACTCATCCCTTCGGATGTCCGATATCTTGTCCATGCAGTTTTTTCCCAGAATTACACCAGTAGTATGGCAGAAGGCAGAGGACCATGTCTTGGGCATTGAGGCAACCCATCGACAGCGTGATGGCGTCGACGTCGGTCGTGTCAGACCCGTCGTCATACCTCTGAATGTTTCGGGGTACAGAGTAACAGTCTAAAAACAGATTTTTTTCTATTTCCGATGGTACTTTAACATTACTTACAGGCTTTTTCAGTGTTATCGCAACCCCTTGTGTGCACTTAAAAGAACCCACTTATCCGACGGTAGGTGACCAGATGGAGGACACACGAACACGTGCAGACATCTAGTTGCGGGTATAGTAAAGTGCAGTATCATTGGACAAAATACTGTGACAACGTATCCCAGTTCACCCAGCTGGAAATGGGTACCTTGTGAGGATGAGGCTGTGTGATAACACGCTGCGCCTAACAGGCTTCATGAGTTGAATACTCCCCATGGAGTTGAGTTGGTTAAAAGAATGCCAGAAAAAACGACATCCATTGATCAAGGGAACACTCCAGCGCCTTGAGCATGTACTAGTTGCGTGGATATGTGTGCTATATAAATATAAACCTGTTTTTTTTGTGCTCATGAAAGGGCACTGGTCCACAGCGATTCCTGTTTCGCGCCAACAATCTAGTCACGACTTGTTGCTGCCAGGTGCTCCCCCGACCGTGACGGACACGGGGACTGGGCAACTGTCCACCTTGGCAGAATTTCTTCAACCTGAACAACGAGACAATAAGAACGATGGGTGCTCATCAGTTATTTGAAAATATCCCCGTTAGTTCTAGTCTTATTGTAATAAAGTATCACAGCGGTGTAAGCGTTTTCGGATTTTCTTATGCCTGGATAGTATGATGACTGATCCAATTTGATTTGAATTCTGTGTTATTTAGCTCAATATTTAATCATGTCATGTAACAATGTGATGTCTATTTACCCACAGGGGCGTGTCACGCTTAGAAACAGCGTTAGAAAGACACATAGGTATATAGACCCTACCCTAGTACTATATAAAAGGATAGTACTGGGGTAGGGTCTATATACCTATATGTCTTTCTAACGCCGTTTCTAAGCGTGACACGCCCCTGTGTATTTACCTAGGATATTAAAAACACACATTTGTTTGTTTTTTAATCCTTAATCATGGTAATAGACGTCACATTGCCATTGCCAGAAAAAAAATCTAAAAATATATTTAGGTAAATAGGTATATACAGTTTTAAACTTTAGTACACAGCAAATGCGTATATGTATTTCTTATGCAACAATGAAGTTCATATCCTCAAAACAGCGTCGGTTGTTTTAATGGAATACAAATTGCATGTAATACAGCGATTACTACCCCCTTGATGTAACCAGTGTTTGGTTGTATAAACCTACACGTTATTTGTCATCATTCACTAATGAATTTATAACGGTCAGGTATAATTAGTGGTAACACCATTTGGATTACCTGACAAAGGTTCCCCTTGAGCATTTCTCATATCAGGGGTAAATACTTAACATTGTAAATTAAGGCCTGGTGTGGGAAATGTATTACATGTTATGTAATGTGCACATGGAAGTGTAGCAAGAGGAATTATCAGCTGAGTTTAAAAAGAATAAATACATCGATCAAAGGATTAACGCGTTGATTTATTACTTTATTTACTGGCAGATGAAGTTGAACTTCAAAATGATTTCATTTGCTATCACGACAGTGAAGACGAAAATATTAATGGGCACAAAAGATAACTACGTTTTCCAGTTAATTCCAAGACGAATCTGTATTTCATCTTTGTTGATCAATGTAAGGATACGCCCATATACTACCAATTGCGCTTGTGGATGGCGCAGCAGATAGAGATCGCAAAACGAGGCAAGAATTCTGGGATATCACCCGGGTAGTCGGTGGGGGAACAATAAAAGCAACAACCAGTCCCAGGGAATTGCTCTCCATCAGTGGCCCTTTTTTCACTGCTTCGGAATAATTTATGTGTCTGTATGTTTTTTTGAGACTGACCTTGTGTTGTTTTCTGTCAGTAGTCTTTCAATGTACTTTCAAATACCCATCTTCGATGTCAACTGCTTGCATTGCAGTAGGTTAAAAAGGTCAGGTTCCTTTTTGGGAGCTTAATCTAAAAATGATATTTCATACATTAATATAAACAGCAGCATAGTGTTGAAAATAGCTTTTGCCATTCAGTTTTTTAAGTTAACATATTTGGTGTTTCAATGCCAGTGTATCGCCCTCGCTCATTTCCGGAGCTCACACCACGAACTATACTATACGATAAATCGAACCTACAGCCATAGATATTGCGTTTGATAGTGTAACCTAGTATTTTCCGACAGATTTACTATGGCGGATGAAGTAAAACATCACTGACCACATGGTGGTGATAAGGTTTTGTGGTGATTTGGATCAGAAAAATAGGTCTGTTTGAGCCCATATGGCATGTGGAAGGTAGGTAGGTAGGTAGGTAAGGTTTTAAGGCGACCTTGGACATCAAAAGGCCTATATGCGCCCAACACTTAACAAACGGTTATATTTATGTTCAGTTAAATTATGTCATACTTCCCCGTTATAACGGGGAAGTCTAACACAGCTCTTTGTATACAACCATACATTAAACTATCGTCAAGTATTGTGTTCATTGTAAAAAACGTTTTTGGTTTTGTTAAGCACAAATTTATTTAAGAGCCTGGCGTGGTATTTCATGAGCTGGAGATTCATTGAGATAGTTCTGAACTGTTTCTGGGCAGGTTAAGTTACAGCATTCACACAGAGGAGAGAGGTCTTTATCTAAAATACATGTACTTCTATATGCCTCCAGTCAACAATGTCCTAGTCTGAGGCGAGGTGCTACAACACAGACGAATTTTAAAATGTTTGTTTACTACGGGACAAGTAGAGTACACGTGTCTACCAGTAGTGTCAATGTCCCATTTATTTTGCCAAGATGCATTTATTGAAGAAGAAATGGCAAACAAGTAATCTCTTGGAATTAGCTTAATAGATTCAATATCTGGCTGTTTTGCGTTGCAAGCCATCTTAGTAAGTTTGTCAATTTCTTCGTTTCCAGCTAAACCAACATGTGCTGGAATTCAAACAATATCCCAGCTGATGTACATGCAGTTTAAAACAGTATCAAGATACAAGATGTCGTATAGTATGCCACTGCGTGGACCTACTCACATGGTTGAATTGCGTGTACAGCTGAAAACGAATCAGTAAAAATTATTGCTTCGTGTTCATTATCTCGTACCCATTTTAAAGCTTGAAGCTGTCAATTCTGCTGCAAATACAGACAGATGATTATTCAATCTAAATCTTTTGGATAAACCTAGATCGGGAATATAAAAAGCTCCACCAACATGACCAGTTCTGGGATCCTTGGAAGCATCTGTGTAAATATGAGTAAAGTTCTTATATTTGGTGTGAATGTAATCTTGGACTAGGATTTTGATAACACTTGGTGACATGTGTTTGGTTACAAGCTCCGATAAATCCTGTGAAATCGAAGGTTGTGTTCAAGTCCACGAAACCGTTTATATCGCATGTGAATACATATCGGAGTTATCCCCCTTTACCTCAACCCATTCCTTCCGAGATCGCGGATATTTTACGACCACTTCAAGGGCTATGTAACGGAAACACACTGGTGTACTTGCGATCCAGTTGGGGATCTAGTTTATCTAAATCTAGCACCTTTATCGAAGTAAAGGGAGCTGTCGTATTCAGTAATATATATATATATATATATATATATATATATATATATATATATATATATATATTCTGCACTTGCTAACGAGTAATACATTTGGCTGTGGTTATCAACATATAATAAGCAATGTCCAGACGGGCGTTTTAACGAGGCATTGAGGCATCAGGATAATTTCCAAGTATGAAATATTGTCCACAGTTGTGATCAAGTAGCTGTAAAATGCCATAACGACTTGTGTTGTTTAAAACATTTACAGTGGTGTAAAAGTACACTTTTGAATTGGACAACAAACCTGTTGGCTGTGACACATAGAATAAAGTTAGGGTTAACTGTATCACAGACTAAAATAAAAAGTCTTGTAAACATGTATTTGGGAATAGTGAATGAGTGAGTTTAGGTTTTAATGTCGCGTTTAACAAGTCTTTCATTCTCATGGCGTGTGAAATTAATGTAAGCGCAAAGACAGACATTATGTACAATTACGCCTTTACCACTTGAAACCACGAGCACCGGTAATGAGTTGACAAACCATGAAATACGAGCATCGTTGTCATAAATTGACCGCCACATCATTTTAATAATCGGATGTCATTTTTCCTGAACAAGGAATGTACTGACAGAATGTTTATCTGGTGTTTCATGCGCAAATACGTGAATTTAACAAAGGAAAGGTTTGGATTGAAGGAAATCATGCTTTATTAACATTATGCTTCATAGATCACGTGACTCCAGATGTTAGATAACCAACTGACCCTCATATGAATCTACATATCAGATTACATCCTAATATTAAATATTTCAAAATGAACGCCTTGAAGTAGCCGGAAGTCACATGACATAAAATGTACTGTGGTAGATAGCTCGTATCAAATTCCCTCCAGTTTGACCTCTGCACCAATAGATGGAACATTGTTTTTGCAGCCAGAAAAACTATTATTCATTCATACCCCCGCTTTGACGCAGAACATATAGATTAAATTCATCAGTACTGAATACAAATATCATGTAAAGGCCCATGACATATCGAGATAAGACAAACGCAGTTCGTGTTTTGCCATCTTAAATCCCTTTCGAATTCTTGAACTATACTTATTTCCAGATGGTTTTGATGTTTTATTTCTGTATATATACTCTCTTCATGCCTGTGACTATAGGAACAGACGGTCCCACGTTGAGGCTGCAGACTGTGTTAGTTTTGTTGTATGTGTATCCTTGACAGAAGGGAGAGATCGAACAAAACCTAGCACAGTCCAGGCCACTCCGGGCAGACACCACGCTTAATGTTGGAGCGGCACCTGTGTCTATCTCAGAACTGGAGCTGTGATAGTAGTTGGTAACATCTGTAACCGAATACAGGATGAAGTTATCCACATTATGTTTCAAGAAATGAATGTATGAGCGAAACCCTTAACCGAACAGATATTAACGTTGTCAAGAAAATATAAAAGTCAATAAATTGAAAATGAAATCACACACAGGAAGATCGTTTGAGCATTATATACTAACGGAAAAAAGTAACTGTGCATGATCATACAATTGCATAAAATAAAATTAATTTGAAAAGTTTCAAAAATAAGTGTGAATAAACATGTAACAAAGCAGGAGGCATGATTTTTAATGTCTCGTATCGTGCGAGGCACGTGCACATTCTGCACAAAGAACGTAATCACTTTTTGCATGTTTTTGACACCTGAAGTTCACACACCTGATATTGAATATTGAAGAACGGTTGATTATTTTCTAGCATCTAAATGTTGTGGAAAACCCTTTAATTCCAACCTAAAGTAGGCCTACGTCATGCCACGGATTACAGAAAATAAGCATCGTGTGTATGCTGGAGACTCGAAGGGCCCAAAATGGAGTGGCCAGACATTTTGGTGTCCATCGAAACACGATCTCATCTCTATGGAGACGCTTTCAACAGCCTCGGACCGGCCGTCCAAGCGTGATATCACGTCAGCAAGACAACCACATTCGGCTGACCAACCTAAGGAATCGATTCCAGACTGCCAGTTTCACTGCTCGGACCATCATTGTTCAACGTCGACAGTTTGGTGGCGGAATCGTTATGGGGGAGGCATGACATCTCATGGTCGTACACAACTTGTCATTGTCAATGGCAATCTAACAGATCTGCGATACAGGGATGAGATCATTGGGCCTCATGTGAAGGCGTTAATTCAAAGAAGGGCTCGTGTTGTTTTGAGACAGCAGAACATTCCGGTACTCACCAGTCCAGCTGTTTCTCCTGACCTGTCCCTTATCAAGCTGAAATGGAGAGACGTTTACGTCAAGCCTAGAATCAGCCCTTGACGTCAGCTGAATTTGGACAAGGTTCAGACAACAACATCCCCCAAAGTCTTTGAATGGCATTTGGAAGAGATACAGATGAAGGAGTAAGCATATTCTCCGAAATGTTGTGTTCCTCGTAATAAGTAGTTGACATCCATAAAAAACTCTTCACATTCCCCAAGCTTTCGTCCATCGCTTAGTGTCGCCTATGCGTCGTCGATGTCAAGCCTGCGTCAACGCCAATCGTGGACACAGGCGATGCTGAATTTGTGAACTGACTTTTGACACCACATCTCTTCACACGCGTGTCACAATGCCTTCTGTCAAATCATGCAGATTTCGATATTATCTTATCAACAGTTAAACAGTGATTAAGGAAAACACCACAAATCATATGCATATTACTATCTTTTTGCATTAAAATGGCATAACATCAAATAATGCACAGTTACTTTTTTCCAGTAGTACATGTAAAACAGCCTCACCAACACAAAGAGGGTAGATGTCACTGCTGTCTTTAACCCACACTCCAGAAGCATTGCAAGCATGCCTTGCGCCGCCGCCTCCCGCCATCACAGACGTCGGTGCACAGTCGTACGTGACGGTATCTTGATAGACTCCCGTGGCAGATGATGCAACATAATTCCTTATTGCAGGAGAAGAACCACAACTGACCGCTAAAGAAATGCATATACATCTGTAGTGCTTACCGTTACATTATAATTTAGCTTTTTAACAGATAATAATATGCAATAGCTTTTCTATCAAATTATCTACGCTTGGATTGTAAGAAACCTACCCTGGCACACAGGCGGTATGCCCGTCTTATTACTGACGACCCAGCTACCATCCAGGATGCAAATCCTTAACCCGTCACTTCCCTGCTCCCTGGTGTACCCCACATCGCAGGAAAATGTCACCTTGTCTCCGTACAAAGGACTGGGGTTGGACGGGGACGCATGAGGTATCGTAGGCAGGGAATGACATACTACACCTGAAAGACAAAGTACTCGTGTTAAACATGGTATTTACTGCCTTTACTAACGTCCAGCCGAAATAGCAATGCAATGACGAGTATAATTGTAGTTGCCAACGTTTCAGTTAAAGAACCACTAAACTTTGTTTTTTGTTACTCTTTTAACCATTACATATGAAAGATTTGTGGTTAGTCTTATGCGGAACACCAAATTTATTCTTTAAAAACTTGTGGTTAATTAATACCGAGCGATTAAAAGTGGCCAAAAAGTCGCCTGCCTCCCTCTCGCCCGCCAACGAAACCACAGACAGGTTACGTAACTCTGTCGCCAGAGCACTGCAGTGACGTCATATGAGGAACGATTTTCAGTTAGTTGTATAGAAAATGTGTAGCACGCTCATCATTTTGATGATTTCTCGACATCAACGACGACATGCCGAATCGTTGCTTTGTCGTCAATTGCTCCTAGGGTCGGGCGATGGTGTCCCCATGCACAGATTTCCACAGGACCCGCAGTTCGTGCTAAATGGGTTATGTTTGTGAGTGCGAAGCGAGCGTTGTGGAAGCCTGAAACGATATCTTACTTGTGTTCAGATCGCTTCACGGAAGTTAAAGAATCAAAACTACTTACTAATTCTAGTAAAATATGCATATGATTGATGACCATAAAAATTTTCTATGACACAACTTGTAACATAACGATTTCTTCCTCGGAAGTGAGTTTGTGGTCGAAGTAACAATAATATTGTAAGTAGTATTATATTCACACCCACCTCGCTGCCACGAGAGAAATTGTTATGTTATACGCTATGTCATGCAAAATCCTATTGGCCATCAATAAAATACATATTTTACTACCAGGAGAAAGTAGTTTTGCTTTGTAACTCGGTGAAAACAAACCTAAATACCATTTATCCTCAGACTGGCGGATGTTCCCGACAGGGCGCCGCCATTTTTAAAAATAAAAAAAATCTGTTAGAATTAATGAGATTATAGTTTGTTTTCATCAAGTTAGAAAATCAAGACTACTTTCTACTCGTAGTTAAATATGTATTGGAATCATAACCAAACGGATTTTGCATGACACAACTTATAACATAACGATTTCTTCCACGGAAGCGAGGTGGGGGTCGAAGTCACAATACTGCGCGACAAATTCCTTCTACATTCCCATGGTTAATGTCCATCACCAGTATGTAGATACTAGTCAATGTGCGTCTGTATATTTGGTCTTATAATCCTAATTAGTTTATTATCATACTTGTATGCATTTTGAAACTAAATAAAAAGCAGACGATCTGCTGATACTTATAGTGAATTTATAACAGAACTGTAATATCTAGACATTTTATAGTTTGCCAATGTGAATCATAATTCGCACACACACCCTAGTGCATGTTGTCTGTCTCATTACACTTCACGGCGAAAACAATGATTCTGTTGAATGCTACGACAAATGAATAAAAACAAAATGCAAATATTAAAATTAAAACAGATTAAAGTTATAGGAACAATATCAGGCCATTACCTTGTTCGAGGAATGTATCCATCAATATCCACAAAACTGTTCCAAATGATGTGTCTTTTAACAGTTTAATATACGAAAAAGTGATAAATCTTTTCAGGTATTGGTGTATAGTCTCATTGGTCACCCAAGATAACACACCTGGCAACTAATTGCATAATGTCCGCCTTTCTTTAAAAATAGTAATTTAGTTAGCCAATAATGGGCAATCAATCAATGTATTGCCGGTTAATCCTTTGAAAGAAGGACGTTGTTTTTACGCAGACACCGACACGACAGAGTGTATTCAGTATAGATTAGTAAATCTACATACATAAACACTACCTTTGACAATTCCGCTGTGTAAGATAAAAGTAATTAATCAATCAGCGTGTTATCGGTTAATCCTTTGATCGATGTTTATAATGTTGAATATTTACTCCAGACACAAGAAATGCCAAATGGGAACCTTTGTCGGGTAATCTAAGTGTGTTACCACTAATTATACCTGTTATAAATTCATTAACTGACCATCAAGTGAATGATGACAAATAACATGTGTAGGTTTATACCACCTAACACGGGTTACAACAAGGGAGTATTAATTGCTGTATTGCATGTGAAAACTTATGGGCCGACACTGTTTTGAGAATACAAACAGATTTTTACATGACATGATTAATTATCGAGGTAAAAACACAGAAATGGGATCAATTTGGATCAGTCATTATACAAATAGGGCCTAACGACACCAATCGATTTTGACAGAATCGTCTATGAAAACAAGTTGTAACTCGGAAACTAGGCAAAGCAGGAGACAAAATTAAATGACAGTAGATTGTGAGAACATACAGCTTTAATTTTCCACAACAGTTGTCACGATTTCAGGTTTATACAAGCCTGTAAACAACATAATTTAACCCCCTAAAATGTAGATGAATTCTGCATCGGCCCTCAAAGCTATTCCTCATATGACGTCACAGAGGCGCGCCGCTCTGATTGGTTGAAATTTCGTTCGCGGGTTAGAATTGTGCACTGTTGTCAAAAAGGTCGATTTAAGTCAATTAAAGGTCGAAATGAGTAGTTTTAATGACGGGGTTTCATTTATAACGATGTCAGTCAGTGATTTATGTTTTTGTACCCCCTACGGTTTATGTGACCTTTAAGGCCGTTGAGTACTGAATATCTTGCTGAACTTCCATACCGCAGTGAAGTTTAATCTTGTTCTGTATAGGAGGGCTGACTGATGAGTCATTTTGTTTCGTTGTGGGAATTGCATTGGTCAGTTGAGCAAATTGGAGACAAACTGTGACAACTCAATACCCAGGTCAGGACACAAATACACTCTCTAAAAAAAAGGAAACACATAGGTGATTTTGAGAATATTCATGTATCAGCGACAAAAACAATACAAATATACTTTTTCTTTCTAAATCGTCATCTTTGTGTGTTTGTAGACAGCTACAGTGCCAAAAGGCGGCAATTTTAACTTTCCCCTTGTTTAAGACTGACTGACTGAGTTTGGTTTTACGCCGCTTTTAGCAATATTCCAGCAACATCACGGCGGGGGACACCAGAAATGGGCTTCACACATTGTGCCCATGTGGGGATTCGAACCCGGGTCTTCGGCGTGACGAGCCAACGCTTTTACCATTAGGCTACCCCCCCCGCCCCCCCTTGTTTAAGAAGCGTTTGAAGAAATATTCGACAAAACGTCACCCAGAAAACATACTAAGCAAAATGCTCACGCAGGTAAGCGGAAAAGCATGCGGTGTCGATCACTATAAAAAGGCAAACGTTTAATTTTGTCTCTGGAAAAGAAAAAAATCACCATGCCACGACTGAGTGCCGCCAATCAAAACATCGCCATAGGCCGCCTTGAAGCTCTGGAGTCGCAGTCTGCAGTTGTCTGACATTTCAACTTTCATCAGAGCACCATACCTTGCCATTGGGATTGATTCCTGCAGACCAGTTCCGCCCAAGATCGCCCGAGAAGCGGCCGTCCAAGAGTTACTACGGACCGCTACACCTGAGTTGCTCGCTTGCGTCACCGTCTTGACACGGGCGTGGAGACTGCACACGACATCATCGGTTTGAGAAGAATTTCCGACCAAACTGTCAGGAATCGAATGTGTGAAGTGGGGATTCGACCAAGAAAGCCAGGTGTCTCCCCTGTTTTGAGAGACTTCCTTCGGCGCAATCGCTTGTGGTGTTGTCGTATAGTCCGGAACTGGAACCTTAGAAACTGGAGGCGCATCTGGTTCAGTGATAAGTCACGATTTCTTCTGATGTGGAAGACAGCGTGATTACAGTCGGAGACATGAACGTTTTGCCCCTAATTGTATTCGACAGATCGACAGATTCGGTGGAGAAAGTGTCATGGTGTGGGGTGCTATATCCAGCACACACATATCTGATTTAGTGGTGGTTCAGGGGAATTTGACAGCAAATCGGTACATCAAAGAAGTCCTTCCACGTCACATGCTTCCGATTCTGGACCGACAAAGGGCGTTGGCAACGCTACTTCACATACAGCACGCGTCACGGTCCGCTACCTTGCCAATTCTAACGTTAATGTCTTGCGATTTCCTCTTATCCAGTCTGTACCGAGACGGTGCCGAGCAGGTTTTGCTGACAATGGTGGCCATACAAAGTACCGACTTCGATGCCATCTTGTGGACTCAAGTAAACAGAAACATTACGATACACAACAATAAAGGATGTTGTTGTGTTGGCGAACTCTTTGTCTATAAACGTGTGAATTTGCACCTTCTTACTATTGAAATTACATGCAATAATTGCCCTTAAACTAACGCAATAAATTCTTTTAAAATGGCATATGCGTTTCCTTTTTAGAAGAGCGAATATAATCTGAATTTCTGGGAAATATATTTCCTGTTTCACATTTCGCAGCTTCGATATTCTGGATGTCACGTTTGTGCAAGCATTCCTAGTCCCAGTGGTCTCGACAGGAAGACATAGGTAACACAGGCTGGTCTAAAAGCTGGTCTACCAATGTGCAAACGGTTCTTTATCAATGTGTCATAAAAAATAAACCTGGGGAAACAATGACAGTTATACATGTACATCATGTATATCAATATGACTTAGACCGAATTCGAAATAGAATCGGATATTGTAGAAACTACAAAAGCAGATCGCAGTAAGACTATAGGTTGGCGTAGTGAAATATGATCATGTATAAACGTACATGCAGAGGAGGTTCATTCGGGCAAATCTCTTCTCTCTTGTACACAGTGATTGGTGAATCTGATTGGTAAACATAGTTCTAGAGTAACAGAATTCCTGTACCATCGACAGGCTACATGTTTGTAGACAGAATGAATGTTTGAGTAACGGAGTGATTTGATGCCACTCACCAACTCTGCGCTCACAGGTGGTATAACAGCTGGTGCTGACATGGGGGTCGCTGCACCCTGCAACAAATGCCAGACAAGCACAGTCGTGATCCATGGATACACCTGCAACATAAACAGCATGTGTTGGAGAGAAACAATGTCCAGCTGGTCAAGAAACTAGGGGGTGTCAGTGGTTTGCTTGAAACATACGCTCCAAAACCCGTGGATGTAACTGAAATAAATGTAAATTATGAACAAACTGAAAAACCCTGTGAAACTATACTTCATAAAAAGTTGATAAAACATACAAAACATTGAAATTAAATATCGCATCGTTTGATGTTTTAATGTGTACAACACACAATGCCTGTCCAGCTATCAGCTACTTATAAGAACACAACTGTTCAACAACGTTTATGCAAAGGTTTGCTGAAAATCATCGTCTGCACGTTGTGGATTTGCTGCGAACAGGAATGGCGAATAACGAAGTTCATCTAAACAAAGTATCAACAGGTTCGGTACAGACGCGTAAGGATATGATGTAGCATTAAAGCTCATGGCAGATCACTACTCAACTGATTATTGGCAAAATGAATGGCTTTTGCTGTGGAGATAATGTTTGTATCTATGTGATGTGAACGTTACTTTGCAGCAGAGTATGCACGTGCTGTAAGATACTTTTTGAAGCAGACTAACCTTGCTGTACTGTAATTGTTTGGCCAGTTGCACACGCTGGTTTGTTAACATTTGGAACAATATCCAACAGACACTTTTGTTTCATGCTTACATTGCGCCAAAGCTACCTTGGTTGTATCAACGCAAAAGGGATAACACTCAATATTGACAATGATTAGGTTGTTACACCACCTTTGTTTCAGGGCGTCCCGCTCTGTCTCCTGTTACCAGGTCTCGTCACTATATGGCCGAAAAATTGCCGATGTGACGAAAATTTTTAACTGAAGCACTCACTGTTACCAGGTATGGGTTTTGTCAATGACCGTCAATGAGTTTCCTCGTGACCAGAGTGCATTCGGAATCTGCAATTCGCAGTTGCCATGCTTTAAACCCCATGGTTTTGGTGTAATGAGTCGAATTGTTAAAGGTGGTACAACATGCAGGCGTTGCATGATGGTGTTTTGCCTTTTACAGTAAGGTAAACTGTGGTGGTCTGGCGAAAATAAACCGGGATTCGATTGGCTGCTTCGGATGATTTCTTAAAGCCAAGTTTACTATTAATTGATTTTAGGCTTGCGTCGTTGACCTAGGTCGCAATGTGTCGGTCGGCCACTAACGTGCCTGTTGAGACAAGTCTGCAAATGATGCACTGAGACTAGTTGAAAAGTTTGGTTACCACTAGTGAGGTCTATCATTTTGAAGCAGGCCAATAGCAAGTTTATCACTGCGCAATCCAAATCTGATCAGAAAGGTTTATGTGTTACTTAGCACAATGAAATGAACACTCCTACTAATTAAACGCGTTAAATACCATTGAATTGAAGTGTCTGAATCAAGACCCCCCATACACAGATTTAAGGAAACTATCTTTCTTAAAATGTTCTATTTTGGGTAGTCATTTTTATAAAGTTGATCACTCTTCGAACGACCAAACATAACATTTCCTTATCCTTACGTCTCCGTCAGGAGAGAACAGTTGAAGTCTCCCCGTGCACATTCATGAGGAAAACAATTCCTGTGCATCACTGATTTTAATGGGCGGATATTGTCCTGCTGTAAAATGATATGACGTCCACTGGTCTGAGAAATGATATGACGCCCACTGGTCTGAGAAATGATATGACACCCACTGGTCTGAGAAATGATATGACGTCTACTGGTCTGAGAAATGATATGACATCCACTGGTCTGAGAAATGATATGACGTCCACTGGTCTGAGAAATGATATGACGCCCACTGGTCTGAGAAATGATATGATGTCCACTGGTCTGAGAAATGATATGACGTCCACTGGCCTGAAGACATAGGAGCCCCGACAGAACGTGGAATCGCCACTGGTGACAACAAGAGGGCTCCTGTGATGTGCAGCGATGCCTTGGCACGAATCATGCTCAGTTACAAGATGCAAAAAGCTGAACAATACGTCAGCGTTACTTTCCATCTAACGTCGATGGACACGTTGACGTCGACAAACGCTGGAGCCTGGACGTATCCTTAAGAAAAGTAACCTTCAATTCTATAACCTGAACTTCAGATGTTGTTATGCTCTTATTAACCTAACCTAAGATAATCGATTGCCGACAGTACTTGCAGGGATGCATGCTGCAAAAGTTGCAGTTTCAAACCGATTTCGCAAGTGATCCAGACTGATTTGTGATTATCATTACGGCTCTTGTGAGAGACTCGTGGACGTCCAGAACGTTGTTGGCCCTTGGTATTGCCAATATGTTGGCACGGACCCCAGAGCGACTGTGCAGTGAAACGATGAACACCAAAACGCGTAACTTCAACGTTTTGTGCAGTTCCTTTTTTACGCATTCCGAGTTCTATTTAATTTCATGAGAGGCATTGCGTACCTGAACGTTTAGAAGGTTTTTCATTGTTAAACCGCTCCTACGATTTACTCGTGTTTGAACAGATCCGTGAATCCGTGAATTTCTTTCTCATGCGATTTCACGGTCATAAAAATGGGTAATCGTGACAAAAATATTTCATATTGTAATATTTGTACAATTTTTTTGTTTATGGCGCTTATACTTTGTCCATGCTAGTGTGTATATTGACGTTTGGGCATTGTAAACATCGACGTCATACTGCTTCAAACATCGGTGGCAAAAATTATTTGATGAACAGTTGCGGAAAACTCCCTGTGCATATTACATCAGGAATATTCCGTCCTCATTTTCATTTATGTGCACCTCAATATCAATTTCGTGCTTTCGTAAAATCAAGACAAGCATGTGAACAGGTTGTGAATCGAACAAATATTATGATATCGTACGAAAGATTCGGCCTTTTATTAACGAGAAATATCAAACTTGTGTAGTTGTGATGTTGCCTAAACGTTTCCGTGTCTAATGGAGAAGACAGGCGACCTACCTGGACAAACTGGCCTTGAGTTGCAGGACTTCTGGCACTGACAGTTTATAAGTGCACTGAGCCAACACTCGCCTACAGCAGCCTCGGCGTCACAGTACTGGTTCGGCTCGGAGTTGATACACTGACTACATCCTTAGGACAAGAAAAAAGTTATCTATGTTTTACCAACGATCCAACGAGCCAACATTCACTTTTTCACGTCAACGTACATACATACACAATCAATATTCAAAGTAAAACATTCAGGACTGAATCTTTATGGCAAGTATATCACTATTAAGTACCATAAACATGACTATATACACAAACGTACCTCTTTCCATCAGGTTCCACAGTCCTAACACCGCTAACAGTCTGATCAAGACCATCGTGTTTCACAGCTTCAAGTGAAGGGAACGTTTTTGGTGCAATGACTTCCTCACGTACTCTCGAACATAAACATTGGCATAATTGGATTATGCCGCAAGCGAAATGTGTAAATGCCGATAAAGGTGCTACATTACTGCGACGGCGACATCCTGGATATGTGAAGTGAAGATCGTAATTGCGCGGGTATCGGATTGATTCTGGATATGTTTATGGGTGTAATGGAATAGCTACACCGCCTTCTTCTTGTCCTACACAGCGATATGGTTGCTTGGCTTTAGGTGTGTAAGGGTATCATATGTAGCCGTTAGTGACATTCGCTTGGAACGGCAGTGGAGCTATTTCCTCCAGTGTCCAGGGTAATCATCACAATTAACATTGCAGGGATAAGGTACTGTTCTGCATCGATTGGGAGCTGCTGACAGGACGCCATAATGCACAGAGCGTAAAATAGTCATAATTAGAATCAAAGGAACATATTGATCGCAAGAATGAAAATCTTTCCTCGGTACGTTCTAACCAAATTGGATAATGAGACACTCACATGGTTCGACTTTTACGTCTCTGGAGTCATAAACGTTTTAAAGCAACACCAAAAACTCCCGTCTGCATGACTACAGTGATCACCGTTCTCCTATAAATTGAAAAGTGACATGCATGTGAACAATTTCATTAAACACTCAACTTGGGGTTGTCACATGCAGCTATTATCAACTGTGATTTTGATTGATAGTTATTGTCATATTTAATCATTATTACTGGGAAGCTGTCCTGTGTTTTCTTGAAGTCATAAAATGTGTAAATTTGTTACATGCCATAACGCTAAAATAATAATCGTCATCGATGTCAAGCTACAATTCACACTCACATAAATGTTATTCTTTTCATCACATCCCACATATCATATGAACTTGTCCGGTCGCGAGGCATCAATAATGTTAATAGCTGCATATAAGCTGTTGTACATGCCAATCAGGTTAAATGCCTGACTATTGCTTGCCTGACAACTTAACCACTAGCAGGATGCGTGACATCCGCTTGCGGAAGTATTGCAAGCAGAATAAGTAGCAAGTAGAATAGAATTAAAAACATTTGTTGTTTGGAAACGTATGTAACTGGAGGTTCATGTGGGTCTGAAGAAGGGTTCAGACAATTGTTTACCAAAATATAGCGTTGGAAATATACATGATTAGCTCTGCTAGTCTTTTATCAGAAAGGCGTCCTTAAAAGGTATATATTTCCAGCATGCAGTTGACGTTTAGGGATGGTATTTACCATACAACCAAAAAGGTGCCTACACTGACATCACGGAACATACGTCCCTCCAGGTGGCGTACAGGGACTTTATGGAACATACATCCCACCAGGTGGCGTTTAGGGAAGGTATGTACCATACAGGCCACCAGGTGGCGTTCATCCCACAAGGTGGCATACAGGGACGTTATGGCACATATATCCCACCAGGTGGCATACTAGGTGACGTTCAATGAAGTTATGGAACATACATCCCACCAGGTGGCGTTCGGGGACGTTATTGAACATACATCCATAAGGTAGCGTTCGGGGACGTCATGGAGCATACATCCCACCAGGTGACGTTCAGGGAAGTTATGGAACATACATCAACCCAAGTGGCGTTCAGTGACGTTATGCTGCATACAAATTTTCAGGTGGAGTTAGGTGACGTTTTTGAGCATGCATCCAGCCAATTGTCGTTCAGCGACGTTTCATAGCATGCGTTTCCTGTGTTGCATGCATCCCACCAGGTGGCGTTCAGCGACGTTTCATAGCATGCGTTTCCTGTGTTGCATGCATCCCACCAGGTGGCGTTCAGAGACGTTTCATAGCATGCGTTTCCTGTGTTGCATGCATCCCACCAGGTGGCGTTCAGAGACGTTATGTAGCAATTTTCGAGTTTTGTACATTTGGTCACAAGCAAAGATAAATGTTGTGTGTAAACGTGAGTCAGAGTGGGAAATGTATTTGCTGAGAATGTAACAATATTCAAGTAATTATGACGAGGGAATTGCAGATTTACTGGCCTCTGCTTTGTATCGTCTTCCGTTATTGTTTTTTCAGTACCCTGAATACATCTGACACTGGCGTCTTTAATGAATGTTTAGCATAGGCTACTGAATGACAAGCTTTGGGGAATTTTATAATATATTTTCAAGAGTAACATGTCCACAAAATCGCGTGTGCAATTGTCAAACACCAATTCCATTCCACTGGCGCTGCCGAACTCCATTCAGCTTGATCAGATAACATTTTGCCATAGTTGATAGTTGAACCACTACGGCGAAAGCCAATCTTTTGACCTAGTATTAGAAGGACTGTTTTCTTTCGTAAGAAAACGGAGATGTGGATAAGACGTTCTAATGTAGGAATATGATATTTTGAAATATGGTTGTTTGTATCCGTATTCATGGATATCCACTTTTTCGTTGTTCTTTTTATCTTTTTTAATGGTGACAAGTCCCTCCTGGTATGGTTTACAGTGCTACATCTTTGTTAACCGGGATGAATTCAATGTCAGCAGTGTGTGAATGTTGTACAGTGGTCTGCAGAAAACTTTCAGTCAGTGCAGTTCCGGATAATGATGATCCTTCTTCCCCCATATAGGACGTTTTCTTAAACGTTTCTAGCTTAACCTCGCAGAAACAAGAAGCCTTGATTTGTTTAGACTAACATGAAAACATATTCAGAAAATGTTCAACATCAAACGATGTATTGCAGTTGTTGTTAAAAACTGTTTTCTCTACGCCCAGTTTGTACGTTGTGTTGCCAGTAACAGTATCATTTCAACCAGTGTCATGCTACTAACTCCTAACAAATGAATGCCTCTACCTTCACACTGGCACAAGGCTACATGCATGACTAGCAGCCGTACCAGGCTCATCAACATTTTAGTGGGGACGACGAAATATTCAGGAAGCAGTCGGCTTTGGGACCGAGGCATCCCCAGATCACAGTTGTCACCCAAACACCTCCCAGAGTCCTTTGGGAAAAATAGTAGGTCAGAGAGCATGTTGTATGTGGTTCAGCAGTAACACCACAGTATGGTATTTGTTGATTAGAGATATTGCAAGTTGAAGGGTGTTTGTCTTCCAGTTACACGTGGTGGTCCAACCTATAACCAGCTTAGTCACCTACATTCTGGTTAGATAGGTCTTACCACAAGATACCGCCTTATGTGTAAGGTCACATCCTACATTACCTACGCATTCGAATTCATTGTAAGACGCCAAACTCAAATTAGACTACGCTTAGTCTATGAATATATATAATTTTGTAAGAAACATAAATTCCTGCTGTACATGTTGATACCAGTGATTTCATGTACCAAACTCGCACTGCCACAGTCTAACAGACACTGCATGATGAAATCAATAGCATTGTCAACAAATACAGAAGCAGTCATCTGAAAATATACTTGATAAGAGCAATCTTTTTATCGTTCTCTTGTTTTTATTACATTTACCAATCAGTACACAACATGAAAACATATTATGTTCACGCCTGTTTAGGCGCGTGTATTAGTCAGTACAGATCGGTTCTCATCATGGTATAAAACGTAAGCGCTAAAATCCATCAACAAATCAGACAATTACCGGTGTTTAACCGTGCCTGAAACACAGCACTTTCGTGGAGACACAATCATAACGCACTCAATCTAAAGTTGACGATTTGTTTGATTTTCATTTCTCAAATGCAAGCAGGTAGATTCTGTTTGGCGCATCAGTAACTGTACATATTTGTCTTTGGCAATTACCAGCATCATTGGCAGCACTCAGTGACATAACCGCAGCTAAGAAGGGAACACTGGGCCAGGAATCTCAGATATTGGGCCACAGCTCAACAATTCATTGAGGATCATGCGTCACTAGTGCACTTAGCAGGAAATCCGCTTCATTATTTTAAAAAGAAACAACAAAAGATTAAAAACATTTTCGCAGTTACTGATTACACAAGTATTTCGTTGTAACAACTTGCAACAACTAACCAGTCGGGTTGTCACATTGCCCTACTCTGATTAATGTTGTCAGATTGTGCTTGTTATCATTACGGCGATAAAAGGACACCAGCAAATCTAGCAATCAATAGTTATGATATTATCTTTGCAACCAAACATGAGGAGGGGATTCCACAAACTTTATGAAAAACTTCATTCCTTGAAACTGAGGGTATTTGTAAATAAACGTGGTTGAGACAAAGATATACCTAAATATCTATCTTCAGAGGTTCAGGAATAAATATGAAAGTAAATGTCATTTGAAGTTTACAGAGAAAAACAATCTGTGAAATGCTGGACTTTGATAAGATGTTTTGGGGTAAAACATAAGACAAGAAGTAGGCATGCCCGATGGGCACATTTTGTGCACCTGTTTCTTTATGCATACTAATCGGATATACTTAAGCTTCAGGTATATCCATGATCAAATACCGTTCAGTAACCATCAAATAGCCAATTTCCTTCCACTGATTTACCAACCTGAATCTTATATTAAGGAAACAATTGAGATCCCCTTAACAGTTTGATATTTAGCTCTGTGCATAAAGAATCAAAGTGACGCAAATCTCTCCACAAGGCTGTATGACAAAAGGGATGATTTCACGTTTCCATTTGTCAACTGTCCTGTCATGTCGAACACTATTTAAACAACTCCAGATTTTGGTGTTAAGATTTCACAACTTTGGAGGCACAATCGAGCATGGTCTTTTACTAAGATTTCACAAAGCTTTATACGACTCTTACTCAGAAGTTGCTCAATCAAGATTACATACCATTCAAGGCCTCAGTAAAGCTTTCGAACATTTTTTTATGGTAGACATGTGGAGGACATTTTGAAACCTGATGCATCATTGACAGAAATGATGCTCGATGCAATTCCCTGTTTTGACCGATACCAGACGTTCCCGACCTGCTTCAGGTAAATTGTTGACTAGTCGTTGTATATGTTTATGAAGGGTGCCATCGCTTGGGCACAAACCTTTTCACAAGCACCTGGTATTATCGCTATTTGATAGTGAATCATAAACACATGCTCTGTTATCGTATCTCATGGTGACAATCAATGGACTTTTTAACATGCTTAAGTGGCATTTAGAAGCTGGTATGATGAAGTGGAACACCTATTTATGGATAGCCAACATCTTTAGTGCAGTGGATGCATCCACTGCAATAAAAAAGTTGTCTATCCATAAATAGGTGTTCCTCTTCACTGGACTGTTTGATTGTTTACCGACCGCTCCGTACAGTTGTAATACTGCTGATAGCGGCGTCAAGTAAACACATACTCATGACATAATCAAAATTGTACAATCGACTTGCTGCTTTTAGCAGATATTTCTTTAGCGAGTGGAAATGAATATATTTTTTCTGTTAGCTCATTTTCTTGTATAAATCTTCGCAATATGTACACGTCATTGATATGTAGGCTTGATATATTAGCACAATCATGGTCTTATTCTTTCTCAACATTTCTACAGTCATAGAACTGCTGGTTATGTGCTCGGTAAAGTCGATGCCTCCAAGGAACTATACACGCCAGTATACAACTTAATACAACAGCGTCGTGTACGTACAACCTAGTGGCAAACTGTATCAGACGAGATGAGTGAAACTGGGACTGCTAGGGTTCAGGATCCCGGCTAATCGCCGGTCGTTGTGGCCGTGGCTATTGTGCGGTTAGCTGCATGACAACCGCAAACAAATAAATATCTGCAGTTGACAAGCAAGTGAGAATTGATTCGGGAGACTTCGCATTATAAAACAAGCCGTAGAGACCTTTGTAGAGAGAGAACAGTTTTAAGCGACGTGACAAGGCCGGTGTTAACAATCCCTGGACATTTACATTACATTTGGAGCATAATGATATGTTATCAATCAACTGTACACTTAAAATTATTCAATTTAATTGATTTAAACACATAAATGTATTCTTATTCCATAAATGGATAGGGATTGGTGAACAAGCGGTTAAAGCTTATATCAGCACCGCTCCCATACAAGGTATAACGAAACGGAACATGATATACGAGTTAACAACTACGTGATACACATACAAAACAGAACATGATATACGAGGTTAACAACTACGTGATACACATACAAAACAGAACATGATATACGAGTTAACAACTACGTGATATACATACAAAACAGAACATGATATACGAGTTAACAACTACGTGATACACATACAAAACAGAACATGATATACGAGTTAATAACTACGTGATACACATACAAAACAGAACATGATATACGATATAAGAACTACGCGATACACATACAAAACAGAACATGATATACGAGGTTAACAACTACGTGATACACATACAAAACAGAACATGATATACGAGATAACAACTACGTGATACACATACAAAACAGAACATGATATACGAGGTTAACAACTACCTGATACACATACAAAACAGAACATGATAGACGAGGTTAACAACTACGTGATACACATACAAAACAGAACATGATATACGAGATAACAACTACGTGATACACATACAAAACAGAACATGATATACGAAATTAACAACTACGTGATACACATACAAAACAGAACATGATATACGAGGTTAACAACTATGTGACACACATACAAAATAGAACATGATATACGAGGTTAACAACTACGTGATACACATACAAAACAGAACATGATATACGAGGTTAACAACTACGTGATACACATACAAAACAGGACATGATATACGAGATAACAACTACGTGATACACATACAAAACAGAACATGATATACGAGGTTAACAACTACGTGATACACATACAAAACAGAACATGATATACGAGGTTAACAACTACGTGATACACATACAAAACAGAACATGATATACGAGTTAACAACTACGTGATACACATACAAAACAGAACATGATATACGAGGTTAACAACTACGTGATACACATACAAAACAGAACATGATATACGATATAAGAACTACGTGATACACATACAAAACAGAACATGATATACGAAGTTAACAACTACGTGATACACATACAAAACAGAACATGATATACGAGATAAGAACTACGTGATACACATACAAAACAGAACATGATATACGAGGTTAACAACTACGTGATACACATAAACAACATGCTGAGAACAAACTTGTGTTATATGTATTTATAATTTTATGTAAATCTATCAGATGAACACTTGTATGATCAATTTAGTTCAATTAATGTATTGTCTTTCAACCTCCTAATCGGTTGTATAAAAACAAATGCTGTATCAGATAAGACAAGCATACGAAACTAGCATTAAGATAACGGGAATTATTGTCAATTATTTAGAGATATATGTAAACACAATATTACAAACAAACAGAAATGTAGTTCACTAACCCCATTAGCACCCATTTAATTCTTGTAGGAATGCCTACAGGGCCATTTGACTTATTCTTGTCAAGAATGGATAAGCCTGGGAAAAGAACAGAAAAAACTACTTGTATCACATCATCGATGACTTCAGAAGATATGCCTCCCAAGCGACCTGTTTCTGATCAGATGTTCAAAAGTTAAGAATGGGTAAATATCTTCCTTTTTGTAAGTAAAAGCATTTTTAACAGAACGGTTTTCTTAAAACACTCTGGAGTTGATTTAGTTATTCAGTACATATTCGCCACCGGCAGCTATTTTCAGAAATCGATCTTGGAGTTGTGTTGTTGACCTAAGGCGTTTGGTGTAGGGGCGATCATTTAATTTTTGTGTTTGAAGAACCCTGTTGGAAAAGCTGCAGATCACAGACTGAGACACACTCAACATGATGACTTCCTCTTGCGGTAGTTGGGTGAGAACACTGATGAGATGTGGGTGGAAGAGGACACTAATCCCTAGTAGTTTTGGGAGTACCAATCAGTAGTAGTTGGGGTGGGGTGGGGGGGGGCTGATCAGCTGTGGGTGGAGGGGAAAACTAATCAGTAATAGGTGGAAGAAAACACTAATCAGCAACTGGTGGAGAACACTGATCAACTGTAGGTGGAGAGCCGTCATCACTTTTAAGAGGTGGACAACTCAGTTGCAGGCGGCGGAGAACACTAATCAGGGAACACTAATCAGTTGCAGGCGGAGAACAATAACAGGTGTAGGCGGAAGAGACAGAGAACACCAATCAGTTGTGGATGGAAGAGAACATGTATCAGCTGTAGATGGAGGGTTAAGGGAGGAGGACACTTATCACCTGTAAAACAACGCAGTTGTTGTCAGAGAAGATCGCGACATTCAGACGGAAAATGACCCTCAGTGAAGGGGTTGGAGGGTAGTATATGCGGGGTTAATATTCTCATTGTGCCTGTTGTCCTACTGCATACCCGCGTAGGGAGCGAATGTGGCCCGGTTGTGCTGACCAGAAACTCTGTACTGCGAGGTTGTGGTTCTTGTGAGTTCAAACTGATTTACCTTTTGTTTGCAAACAGCCCATGTTTAAAACCCCTTTAATCTACTTCCTCGCGATTGATTCGGTGACATTCTCACGGTTTGGGATACATTTATGCTAAACCATTTATCCTTATCCTTAATTTCAGTAAATATGTTCGACCAAGCGTAGAGAAATCGATTGATGAAAACTGAGCAATGGATGATAAAGATTTAGTTTCCTTAGCTTGGTTTTTAAAAGCTTGCTGGCCCGCGATACTGCCGAATACTGAACGGTTTAACGGATACAGTTTCCAAGTTTACAGATTCCACGATTAGCTTCAGAGTCATTAATAAAATATACATGTTTACTGGTTTGTTTATTTGATTCTTTTACGAACATCTGATACAATCAAGGGTTGTTTACTGGTTGTGGGATTAGTGATCTATGTGTAGTTTTATTGATTTCATACCCAGATTTAGTGACAGTGCATACAGAATACTGCAGAACATGCCGCAAGTATCCATTCAGCACACATGTCTGAAACCCTTATACAATACAGAATAATCACGTCATACATTGTATGGGAGATGTCTTGTTGGCAGTACATTTGTGTAATGAAAGAATTGTACTATATTACAGTGACAGTAATCATACATGGAGTGATTTCAACATTTCAAAACGGAAGTCGGGCCTCTCACACCCAAATAAATCCAGAGTGTACCGGGTCACAAAAGATTCGCATACACCAAATGTAAGCTATTTCAATACGTTGCTACAATAATAGATTATCCGTCTGGGGTTTAATGACGGCGGTTACTAAGCGTAGCCACGGACGCTCTTTGGAAAGTGACACTGAGCACTCTGACGCGCATTAGAGCAGACGATTTCCGTCAGCGGTTTTAACAGATCGATCTCGATGGTCACAGGGGCGCAGCGGAAAACCTGTCGCATGACAATATGATATGGGACAGCGTAGTAACGAACTTTGCAGGAGATAGGTAAGTACTGAAATTAACAATAGAAGTGGTTCGATCAGGGTTCATTTCGTGTAAATTAAGTTCAAAATGTACCACGGAAAGCGTGTTATTATATTTTGGAAGTTCGGTGCTTAAAACAAACAAGGACACTGACATATTTATAGATAAGAAGGACACCACGCGGCGGGCAGGAATACCAACCGGATAGTTGACAAACATAACCAGTTCATCGGAGTAGTAGTTTCTCAGTCGATTCAAAATGTTATTGAATCTATGAAATATATCGTAATGTGAATGTGATACTCGCTAATATCACACACACACTTTATTTACCTGGTGAAGTCAGTTCAGTTATTTGAGCTAGCTTTCACTGAGTGAACATAGTTCAGATACAGACTATACTCCCCAGCCCTAATCCCTTTAATTTCAAGTTTCAGCTAGCTGAGAACACCCCGGCAAAACACTAATGACTTGGACGATAGGGGTAGAGACAGCTGGATGAAGATCTAATCTTGTAATAGATACTTGTAAATATATACCCTATCAGACTGTTAAACTATCCAGTTAGTAACCTGTCGGTGTATTCCCATACTGCCTACAGTTCCAGACTGCCTACAGTGATCAGTGATCAGGAAGTGAATACACCGATCTGACCTGCTCTACCCCTGCTAAAATGAACTTGACTAGTTAGCTGGTTAATTCTATGGTGTCTTCCCACGCTGCCTACAGAAGTTTAAAAAGATGACAAGTGTTGGTTGGTAGGACATCTTTATTAATTCTGAGAATTCTCAGACTTTACATGGAGACATGGATTTATCATGAAAAACTGATAGGTTTTACAGTCTTTCAGTGGTTTTACAGTCTTTCAGTGGTTTTACAGTCTTTCAGTGGTTTTACAGTCTTTTACTTGTTTCACAATTTCACACAACTGACAATCACTTTGCAAACTTGATGAGATGTCCAGCAGCATCAAGGTACTGACGAGGCATTTTTCTCCCGCTCTGGAGGTGCTCCTTCAGTCTCAGAAGTCTCGCATCGAGCTCTCCGTAAACACCTTGCGTGACTTGGGGAGGGCACCACAGTCGAGCTGAGCACGTTTAGCTTTGTCTACAGCTTCGATTTTCTTGATGTTGCAGATGAAGAGGTAGATGTTTGGGTGGGCTTTGGCAATAAGGTTTTTCAGCTTTAGGTGCCACCCCTCAAGGTGGTTGTTAGTCCGCGGGCCAATATTTCCATCCGTATCTGGATTTCACTAGGCGCAAGTTCACCCCCTACCTTGTCCCTAACATCATTCAACAACGTGAATAGTCTGACATAGGTAGCCCTCGTACGATTTGGCAACAGCGCATGCACACATGTATATATATCCCTATTCACCATACAGTGAATGACATACAGCTGGTCCCATAGGGCTGGTACAACATAGAAAGTTCCATCCATATACCACTTGGCAAAAGCCAGTATCTTGTCGTCGTGGTCAGCAACCTCGGACAACTCTTCATCGTACAGCTGCCGAATGGATGTGACGTCCTCCTGTACACGCTGACGCAGTCTGCTAAGGAGTCGAATCTCATCTTCAGATTCCACTGGGACATGGTTGTGCGGTGTTGTTGATTTCATGAAGTCTCCAGTTGTAGAACAACGGCCTTTGCATTCAGAATGTTGTGTTCAGACGTTGAGGCGATATCGGTCCCAAGCAAAGAAAACTTGCTGTCCTCCTGCTTGAGAAGTGATGAATTGAATGCGTTGTACATTTGCCATTGTGTGATGGATGCAGTTGGTTCCCCTTCTAATTTATTAGGAGTTTAATTAACTGAGAAGATGATACCTTCTCAATAATTTAGTCCTTACCATGTTTTTCGACATAATCTTACAAAGACAGACAAAGCCTGTAGCAACATAGTTGAAACAAGCCTACCCAACTTGATCAAATAGGATTAAGTTAATCCTGCTTTGGAAGTTACAATATAAGCATGCTAACTGCTTCCCAAAACAAAATAAAACAATATCATTGTACTTGTCTTGTAGTCTTTATTGGATGAGAAGACTCAAAACATAATATACACAGAAGTAGATGCACAGATATATACTAATATAATCCCCCTTATTATCCCTTACTCCAAACGAAGCTCCCCTTCTTCATTGATACTCGGGCTGTTCCATTATTCTACAGGGCAAAAAATCTTTTCCCACGCTGCCTACAATGTTTTTGATGGCAGTTTGGGATGTAGGCAGTTTGGAACTGTAGGCGGTATGGGACCTAACCCTCCTGTCAGCTTGATCAACTAAGTAGTCAGCTTGTTCAACTATCTAATTAGTATATTATAACATGCATTACATTCGACCACTTTCCAAATGGCATTGTGTATTCATAGCTTCGGCCCGTGGAGGAGTGACATTTACACAAGGTTCGTTATCTAGACTACCAGTTCCCCCACTTCCATTGTTATGGAAGCCGCTGTGACTGAGTGGGTTAGATGAATGACTTTGTGTGCTGGCGATTAGGTGCCAGACTCTGAGAGTGTGGGTTCGAATCCCAGGTCCAACCCTTTACCTTTGAACTAAGTTAAGATGTTGGACAGTTTGTTCTCTTCGGGGTGGTCGAGTAGCCTAGTGGTTAAAGCGTTTGCTCGTCACGCCGAAGACCCGGGTTCGATTCCCCACATGGGCACTATGTGTGAAGCCCATTTCTGGTGTCCCCCGCCGTGATATTGCTGGAATGTTGCTAAAAGCGGCGTAAAACTAAACTCACTCACTCTAGCCCTCTTCATGGGGGAGATACGCGTGGATGCATATCAACACGGTAAGTGGGCAATACAATATCCATTATGATTTTAAACCCAAACTGTTCTACTGAGATTTCATGCTGTGAAATGATCTTGAAGATAGAAGAAATGGTTGTTGGCGTCTAGTATGAAAAGGAAAATGCAATTCCCGTGTTATTTACAGGGCCTTAATCCCATATCATGATTGTGGTCTGAAACATAATTTATTCCATTATTAAAAAATAATAATTCAGAGTTGTCATCGTCAACTGATTTCATAAAATGATCCTTCCTTTTTAGGTCACTGAAACATTAATCGTATTTGACAGGTGCACTTCAGTTTTTATAATTAATTCTCCACACATCTTATTTCTAAACATTAAGCTACATATAATGTTACAATTTTTATAGTGAGGATGTATTTTTATATTTTTCCAATCCAGCCAAAAATAATTCACGCATTATCTATGAGTTTCGACAATTCAAGTTCAAAGTTCATATTGCATAATTGAATTTGTCAAATGTCTCCACACACCCCCCGCACTCCATCATCTCCCCCCTTCCCGCCTATTCTCCTCAAATGTAACCAGAGTTGGGTTTTAATTAATATACTGGTCACATAAAGAAACTGTGCACACAGAAAATATAAAGATAGGCAGACAGCGTCTTAATGCATAAATAAAGGTGTGAACATAGCAAGTATTGGAGACAATCAAACGCTCATGCAGGTGCCAGGCGAGGTGACGTCATTGATGGTGGCCTATGGACTTGTAATGTGTTACTGCACGTGCAGCCTGTGCAGCTGCACACAACATGTGAAACTCAGAAATTGATGTCACTGTCGCTAGCTTGATCTTTGGTCATTCAAACGTTCACAAATTCACATGAAAAGTCACATGCACAACATAACAAGATTAACATGTGCTCAACATCATGAAGCCATTGGAATGGTTCGAGCAGGCATGAGCCAACAACAGGTGGAAGCACATTTCCAATGCCATCGTAACACGATATCTGCATTGGTCAGGCGTTATGGAAAGAGTAATGACGTCGCCGACCACCCACGTTCTGGGCGTCCCCGAGTAACGACGCCAAGACAGGACAGATGGATTCGGGTGACTCATATCAGACACAGGTTCCAGACGGCAGTGACCACGTCCCAAACCATTCCCCAGGCCTTCATTTGGAAAATTTGGTAGCCTCTATGCGTCGTCGATGCACTGCTGTGCTTCACGCGCATGATGGTCATACCCGTTATTGACTTTGTGACTTCAACGTGTGACCCCCGACTCAATTTTGAACTTCTGACGTCATCGTTACGGATATTGTTCATGTTCTTTTGACATGTTGTTGAGGCCCGATACTTCAGCTTATAAAGTGTCTACATCATGTCGTCTTTTCTGTGTTGTATTCCAATTCTGAAGGAATTTTCTGTGTGCAGTTTCTTTATGTGGCTAGTATATATTCCTCACGCGAAGAAATATTCCTTTTGAAATGGCAGTAAGCAAGCCAGGAACTTCTGGTCTCTGTTTATCCCGCGACTGCATTCAGCAACACCACATAATCAGAGTTCCATGCCTTACATCGTCACTGATCCACTCAAACCTCGCCCAGAACCTTAATTCGAGGCACAACCAAAATGTGTCTTGCTCGGCAACACAGTGGATTCCTAATAGTTCGCTAAACACGTCTTCGGCCATCGATAAAATTCAAATAAAGACGTTTCAGCTGTAAGTGATTGACATTCGATTAGACATGGTATTCAGCAACATGGAGACGACGTGCACAATGTTAAAAAGACAAAAATGGTCTCAGATCTATAAACCATGCCAGCCATATTGAATGTGTCATCTTTACCCATCCTGAGATATTTGAACATGTATCTTAATGACATTGAACAGTCTGTAGGTATGTGGCATTCAGAATACTGAGTAATCCGTTGTTGTACATATATTTATTTGTAAACTTGTGATGTCTGAAGAACCTCACAAACTCAATTTATCTCTATTTGGTAAATTTGGAGAACACCCTTGAAACATCTTGTATCTGTTGTCTATTTTTGCAAATCCTGATTTAACCTTTATTAATGACTGCGTTTAGATATTATACGTGAACTACGGAGACCTGTGGGTCTGACTGTTATATGAAGGCTTTGGAAATGCTGGCCAAATTCGTTTTATTCATGGATGCGTTTATCATATCATATATAATGTATCTGTAACATTCGCGTTAGGTGACAGGAAATAACCTTTATGTTACTTTTGGAATTGACCTCATGATTCCTTTAAGACTAATGTAAACTGCGTAATATATGCAGGGTAAATGGAATCAATTCTCTTCTTGACTTATAGTTCTTTTTGTGGACATCATTAGTGCATTCTGTCTTCTTCATTTTTAGTCACGCATTGATGCATGTAATGCTATTCCTTTTTGCGGTGTTTTGGTAAATTATTCACCAGCATTATAAACGACAGACTCACCAAATTTTGTTGCAATAACTAAAAAATTTCACATGCTCAATCGGGTTTTAGAAAAGGCTTTTCCACGACGGATAATGTTTCATCATTCAGAATCTTATTCATAATGAAAGAGACTTAAAAAAAAAATATTTTGTAGAGTTTTCGAAAGCTTTTGATAAAGTATGGCGAGCTGGCCTTTGGTATAAATAAAGACATATTGGTGAAAAGGGAAAATTACTAATCTTGATTAAAAATTTATATAACGATATCAAATCATGTGTAATGGTCCATAACGATAAACCCCCTTTCTTCTCATGTTTGTCTGGTGTCAGGCAAGGGGAAAATGTGTCCCCTCTACTTTTTTCAATATTCCTTAATGATTTAGAGTTATATTTAGAAAATGAATCGTGTAGTGGAATACAACGTCATTCTAACACTGGAAATATAGCGCTATATCTCAAACTACTTGTACTTCTACGCTGATGACACAGTCCTCCTTGCAGACACACATGGTGATTTACAAAACTAAGAGAGTGATTTTTAGTTCTGGACCCGCACCTAATTACAAAAAACACTTTTATCTCAATGATCGGACAATAGAGATTAACGGTACATATAAATATTTAGGAATATTATTACATAGAAATGGGCGTTTGAACTTTGCCATTTAAAACGTTGCAGAACTCGGCATGAAAGCATCTATATCATTGCTAAAATGAGCAAGAAATATATAGTTACCGTTAGATACCATACTCTCTGCATTTGATTCATTGGTTTTACCAGTCTTACTGTATGGATGTGAAATATGGGGATTCGAAAATTGCGATGTCATTGAACGTGTTCATCTTAAATTCCTTAAATTAGCTACCGGTCTTAGATATAACACCCCGAACTTTATGGTTTATGGAGAACTTGGAAGACAACCTATTCAGCTTCAAATCTCTAAACGATTAACCACTTACTGGTGCAAATTGAAATTTTCCCATCCAAACAACAAAATAGCAGCTTTCATCTTAGATTATATCATGGATGATACTCCCTGGCTAAATCATGTGAAACATATATTTTGTAAATGCGGCTTACCGGATGTATTTGTAAACCCCTTTCATTATACTCAATCCTGGATCATATCAAAATCTGAATCAATCCTGGAAAACCAGTTTTTATATTCGTGGACCAGTGAAATAAATAATTCATCAAAAGGACATATAAAATATTGATGTCAAGTACTAAAATTTCAACAATCAATCACCTATCTAAATTTATCAGATGATATGTTCTAGTTTTCAGTAATCAGTAATCATTGCGTATATTCCCTGTCACCTTCTTGCATACTTTGTATATTCTGCATTCCATTTTATGTACTCATGTTCCACCGGAGGTGGTTCCATTTTGAGTAATAAACTGTGAGTGAAGAAGCGTATATCGATACTCAATGTCAGGATTGTCCGGGCCATACTCGATTGTTTACCGACTGCCCATTATAGCTGGAATATTGTTGATGCGCATGCACACAAAAACGCGATGCATTGCACTGTAGACGACTACAGACGAGTGGGTCACTCATGCCCCCATGCGCACAATTATTATTATGTTTAGATTTCTTGACTTGTAACGAATGGTTTCGATATATCCACAGGTAGACGTTAGTGGCAGAATGAGCTTCTACTATATCAAAGTGGTGAAAGTACCGGAAAAACCACCAGGTTATGGTTTTCGTAAAGCCGAAGCGGAGGAGATCGCCAACATTACACAGCGTTTGACCAGACCGACCTACAGCAGTCTCATACACACAGAGGACAACCAGTCAGTGCACAACTACCAATACATTCGTCAACAGAGCAGTAAGAGACGCACACCATCTGCATGCAAGAAAACACCACTTTCGACAAACATTAAGAGTACAAATGATCGTAGATTCAATGACTGGGAGTTGCAGCGCGTGTTGAGGCGATTACAAAAACCCACTGAGACGTCTGAATGTAGACGGTTTTCACACGATGACGAGTTGACACCTGCCCGAGCTGCAACTACAGTCAACAGACCGAAAACGGTTGATGAGAGAACTAAATTTTTGGAGCGACTAGCTCGACCAACAACAGCAAGTAGGGCGAAGAGTGTTAACGATTGTCATCTGTGTGATGAGAAAAGTAGAGAGAACAATAAAACATTAGCGCCGTTTGAGTATGAATACGCAGACGATGACGAATTAGAACCAGCAGTGGTGGAGGAAATCGTCGAGCGTGTACGATCCTCGACTCATGCCAGTACCAAGGGTACAAAGCAGTGTGGTCGACTGACTCCAGCACGTGTAGATGAAGTGGAAATCCGCAAAGGGCTGCCATTAGTTAGTGGTCTCCCAAGGAGTAACACCGTGAAGGAAATCGTTCACAGGTTGTATCCCCCGAGAAACCACGGATACAGAACTACAAGAACGCCTATCTACATGCTATAACCGTTCCTACACTGGTTAATTAGTATGTTTACACCAAAATAGTGTACATGCTCTAGCTTACTGTTCTTATACTGGTTAATTAGTATGATTATAGAGAAATAGTCTACATGCCCTAACTGTTCTTATACTGGTTAATTAGTATGATTATACAGAAATAGTCCACATGTCATAACTGTTCTTATACTGGTTAATTAGTATGATTATACAGAAATAGTCCACATGTCATAACTGTTCTTATACAGTAACTGGTAAATTAGTATGTTTATACAGAAATAGTCTACATGTCATAACTGTTCTTATACAGTAACTAGTTAATTAGTATGTTTATACAGAAATAGTCTACATGTCATAACTGTTCTTATACAGTAACTGGTTAATTAGTATGTTTATACAGAAATAGTTCACATGTCATAACTGTTCTTATACAGTAACTAGTTAATTAGTATGTTTATACAGAAATAGTCTACATCCCCCAACTGTTCTTATACTAGTTAATTAGTATGTTTATACAGAAATAGTCCACATGTCATAACTGTTCTTATACAGTAACTAGTTAATTAGTATGTTTATACAGAAATAGTCTACATGCCCCAACTGTTCTTATACTAGTTAATTAGTATGTTTATACAGAAATAGTCCACATGTCATAACTGTTCTTATACAGTAACTAGTTAATTAGTATGTTTATACAGAAATAGTCTACATGCCCCAACTGTTCTTATACTAGTTAATTAGTATGTTTATACAGAAATAGTCCACATGTCATAACTGTTCTTATACAGTAACTAGTTAATTAGTATGTTTATACAGAAATAGTCTACATGCCCCAACTGTTCTTATACTGGTTAATAAGTATGATTATACAGAAATAGTCTACATGCCCCAACTGTTCTTATACTAGTTAATTAGTATGTTTATACAGAAATAGTCCACATGTCATTACTGTTCTTATACAGTAACTAGTTAATTAGTATGTTTATACAGAAATAGTCTACATGTCATAACTGTTGTTATACAGTAACTGGTTAATTAGTATGTTTATGCAGAAATAGTCCACATGTCATAACTGTTCTTATACAGTAACTAGTTAATTAGTATGTTTATACAGAAATAGTCTACATGCCCCAACTGTTCTTATACTAGTTAATTAGTATGTTTATACAGAAAGAGTCCACATGTCATAACTGTTCTTATACAGTAACTAGTTAATTAGTATGTTTATACAGAAATAGTCTACATGCCCCAACTGTTCTTATACTAGTTAATTATTATGTTTATACAGAAATAGTCCACATGTCATAACTGTTCTTATACAGTAACTAGTTAATTAGTATGTTTATACAGAAATAGTCTACATGCCCCAACTGTTCTTATACTAGTTAATTAGTATGTTTATACAGAAATAGTCCACATGTCATAACTGTTCTTATACAGTAACTGGTTAATTAGTATGTTTTTACAGAAACAGTCTACATGCCCTAACTGTTCTTATACTGGTTAATTAGTATGATTATACAGAAACAGTCTACATGCCCTAACTGTTCTTATACAGTAACTGGTTAATTAGTATGTTTATACAGAAATAGTCTACATGCCCTAACTGTTCTTATACTGGGTAATTAGTATGTTTATACAGAAATAGTCTACATGCCCTAACTGTTCTTATACTGGTTGATTAGTATGATTATACAGAAATAGTCTACATGCCCTAACTGTTCTTATACTGGTTAATTAGTATGATTATACAGATATAGTCTACATGCCCTAACTGTTCTTATACTAGTTAATTAGTATGATTATACAGAAAGTGTCTACATGCCCTAACTGTTGTTATACTGGTTAATTAGTATGATTATACAGAAAGAGTCTGCATGCCCTAACTGTTCTTATATTGGTTAATTAGTATGATTATACAGAAATAGTCTACATGCCCTAACTGTTCTTATACAGTAACTGGTTAATTAGTATGATTATACAGAAATAGTCTACATGCCCCAACTGTTCTTATACTGGTTAATTAGTATGATTATACAGAAATAGTCTACATGCCCTAACTGTTCTTATACAGTAACTGGTTAATTAGTATGATTATACAGAAATAGTCTACATGCCCCAACTGTTCTTATACTGGTTAATTAGTATGCTTATACAGAAATAGTCTACATGCCCCAACTGTTCTTATACTGGTTAATTAGTATGATTATACAGAAATAGTCTGCATGCCCTAACTGTTCTTATACTGGTTAATTAGTATGATTATACAGAAATAGTCTACATGCCCTAACTGTTCTTATATTGGTTAATTAGTATGATTATACAGAAATAGTCTACATGCCCTAACTGTTCTTATATTGGTTAATTAGTATGATTATACAGAAATAGTCTACATGCCCTAACTGTTCTTATACAGTAACTGGTTAATTAGTATGATTATACAGAAATAGTCTACATGCCCCAACTGTTCTTATACTGGTTAATTAGTATGATTATACAGAAATAGTCTACATGCCCCAACTGTTCTTATACTGGTTAATTAGTATGATTATACAGAAATAGTCTGCATGCCCTAACTGTTCTTACACTGGTTAATTAGTATGATTATACAGAAATAGTCTACATGCCCTAACTGTCTTATACTGGTTAATTAGTATGATTATACAGAAATAGTCTCCATGCCCTAACTGTTCTTATACTGGTTAATTAGTATGATTATACAGAAATAGTCTACATGCCCTAACTGTTCTTATACTGGTTAATTAGTATGATTATACAGAACGAGTCTACATGCCGTAGCTAACTGTTCTTATACTGGGTAATTAGTATGTTTATTCAGAAATAGTCTGCATGCCCTAACTGTTCTTATACAGTAACTGGTTAATAAGTATGTTTATACAGAAAGAGTCTACATTCCCTAACTGTTCTTATACTGGGTAATTAGTATGATTATACAGAAATAGTCTGCATGCCCTAACTGTTCTTATACAGTAACTGGTTAATAAGTATGTTTATACAGAAGGAGTCTACATGCCCTAACTGTCTTATACTGGTTAATTAGTATGATTATACAGAAATAGTCTACATGCCCTAACTGTTCTTATACTGGTTAATTAGTATGATTATACAGAAATAGTCTACATGCCCTAACTGTTCTTATACTGGTTAATTAGTATGATTATACAGAAATAGTCTACATGCCCTAACTGTTCTTATACTGGTTAATTAGTATGATTATACAGAAATACTCTACATGCCCTAACTGTTCTTATACTGGTTAATTAGTATGATTATACAGAAACAGTCTACATGCCCTAACTGTTCTTATACTGGTTGATTAGTATGATTATACAGAAAGAGTCTACATGCCCTAACTGTTCTTCTACTGGTTAATTAGTATGATTATACAGAAAGAGTCTACATGCCGTAGCTAACTGTTCTTATACTGGGTAATTAGTATGTTTATTCAGAGATAGTCTGCATGCCCTACCTGTTCTTATACAGTAACTGGTTAATAAGTATGTTTATACAGAAAGAGTCTACATGCCCTAACTGTTCTTATATTGGGTAATTAGTATGATTATACAGAAAGAGTCTGCATGCCCTAACTGTTGTTATACTGGTTAATTAGTATGATTATACAGAAATAGTCTGCATGCCCTAACTGTTCTTATACAGTAGCTGGTTAATTAGTATGATTATACAGAAATAGTCTACATGCCCTAACTGTTCTTATACTGGTTAATTAGTATGATTATACAGATATAGTCTACATGCCCTAACTGTTCTTATACTGGTTAATTAGTATGATTATACAGAAATAGTCCACATGTCATAACTTTTCTTATACTGGTTAATTAGTATGTTTATACAGAAATAGTCTACATGCCCCAACTGTTCTTATACTAGTTAATTAGTATGTTTATACAGAAATAGTCCACATGTCATAACTGTTCTTATACAGTAACTAGTTAATTAGTATGTTTATACAGAAATAGTCTACATGCCCCAACTGTTCTTATACTAGTTAATTATTATGTTTATACAGAAATAGTCCACATGTCATAACTGTTCTTATACAGTAACTAGTTAATTAGTATGTTTATACAGAAATAGTCTACATGCCCCAACTGTTCTTATACTAGTTAATTAGTATGTTTATACAGAAATAGTCCACATGTCATAACTGTTCTTATACAGTAACTGGTTAATTAGTATGTTTTTACAGAAACAGTCTACATGCCCTAACTGTTCTTATACTGGTTAATTAGTATGATTATACAGAAACAGTCTACATGCCCTAACTGTTCTTATACAGTAACTGGTTAATTAGTATGTTTATACAGAAATAGTCTACATGCCCTAACTGTTCTTATACTGGGTAATTAGTATGTTTATACAGAAATAGTCTACATGCCCTAACTGTTCTTATACTGGGTAATTAGTATGATTATACAGAAATAGTCTACATGCCCCAACTGTTCTTATACTGGTTAATTAGTATGATTATACAGATATAGTCTACATGCCCTAACTGTTCTTATACCAGTTAATTAGTATGATTATACAGAAAGTGTCTACATGCCCTAACTGTTGTTATACTGGTTAATTAGTATGATTATACAGAAAGAGTCTGCATGCCCTAACTGTTCTTATATTGGTTAATTAGTATGATTATACAGAAATAGTCTACATGCCCTAACTGTTCTTATACAGTAACTGGTTAATTAGTATGATTATACAGAAATAGTCTACATGCCCCAACTGTTCTTATACTGGTTAATTAGTATGATTATACAGAAATAGTCTACATGCCCTAACTGTTCTTATACAGTAACTGGTTAATTAGTATGATTATACAGAAATAGTCTACATGCCACAACTGTTCTTATACTGGTTAATTAGTATGATTATACAGAAATAGTCTACATGCCCCAACTGTTCTTATACTGGTTAATTAGTATGATTATACAGAAATAGTCTGCATGCCCTAACTGTTCTTATACTGGTTAATTAGTATGATTATACAGAAATAGTCTACATGCCCTAACTGTTCTTATATTGGTTAATTAGTATGATTATACAGAAATAGTCTACATGCCCTAACTGTTCTTATATTGGTTAATTAGTATGATTATACAGAA